GGGTTGCTAAGGGTTTGTCTGGCGACTCCTGGGGCCCATGGGGGGTTCCACCCAGCCTCAGTAGCTTCGCGTGCGCCGTTGATACAATGCTTTGTGAGTCTACAGCACCCTCTGAGAGCTACTGGCCGGGCCCCTCGTCTCCGCCACTCGGCCCAACAGCAGCAGTAACTGCCACCGCGGTGGGAGGGACGACGGAGGATGTTGTTCTAGAAGTCCACCACCTCTCCCCTGCGCCATCCTTCGAAGCCCCGGATAAAGACGAAGAGAGCACTGACTATTCCACGCTGCCATGTGCTTCTGGTACTGGCAGCAGCAGCAGCGGTAGTAGTAGTACCAGTGCCACGGGGGTGTCTCCCTTGGTATATTTCTTGAGGAAAGCCAAGTCTTTGAAAATGTCCCTCTCTCAGACGATAGAGCAGCAGCAACAGACGCTGCAACTGCTGCTACTGCATCCCCGCCTTGCACCGCCCTCCCTAGAAGCCCCCTGTTGCTGGTGCTCAGCTGCCATCGCGCCGCAGCAAGAGGAGCGGCAGGGCAGCTGCGTTGTACTGCTGCAGATAGAAATGATGCAGGAGCTGCTGCAGCAGGCAAGTTCTCAGCTGAAGCAACAGCAGTGGGATTTGCAACGGGGTGAGGCCGAACTGCATGCCCAGCAGCAGCAGCAGCAGGAAGGATTTTACAACTTGTTGTCGCATTGGCAGCAGCAACAACAGCGGCAGCAGATCGCAGCAGCAGCAGCCGAACTGCGAATACGTCGCAGTGTGCTGAAGCATCAATGTGAACAGCTCAATGAGGCGGTCCTGTTGCAGCAACGGCTCCAGCAGGAGGCCAGGGCCAGATGGCTCATGGAAGCGGCAGATCAAATCCGGACATGTGAGGCTCTTGCTGATGCTGTAGTTACCACCATCGTTTACTGCAGATGCTCCGCTGCTAGTGGTGTGTGGCGATTTGAAGCAAGTAGGGAAATCGCGAAGCAGCAGAGTCTGTGCACGGTCGGCTGTCTTTCCCTGCCGCGTTGCGTGTCGATTTCTGTTATTGTTGTGCCTGAGCGTTTCTGTCATTGTGGCACTCTGCTCACTTGCTTACCTTCTCTCCTTGCCACTAATTCAGCCTCTCCACATCAGTTTGCTCATACACCCTTCGCTATGTGAGTGTAGCTCTCTGTATGTCTAGCTATCCGTTCAGGCTACCCGGAAGCCTCTCCTCCTCAGATGGCACAGCTGCTACAACAACAGGGCGCCGACTCTCTTTGGACTGCACAAATCACTGATGTACGTTGCATCAGAATCGTAGAGTCTTCTGCTGAGGAACAGAGGAGGCCTCGGACCTGCATTGAGAATGCTCCGCAGTTGTTGCCTTAGTTGTTATAGGTGGCCGTGTAGCTACAGGCACAGCAGCCTCTACAGTCAGCAGACAGCTGGAGTTTGGCTGTTGCTGCCCTTATTGCTTCTTTAGGGCCTCGTTGGCAGTCAACTGCGCGAAAAGAGGATCAAGCTGCTCCGGCTCGAAGAGAGTGAGGGACCCTCGTTACAACTCCTAGCACTACGGCAGATGCCGCTTTTTTAATCATTCTGTGCAACAGTAATGCTGTCAGCCCTTCGCTATGGCCACTGCGACAATCGTTTGCCACACAAGTGCAGTTTTCAGCATGGAAGTGTCCTAGCTGTTCGTGGCCTGAGTCCTAAAGCAGTACACTTGCCGTTGCATTTTGTTGCTCCTCTGCTTCTTCAGGGTTGCGAGAATTGCAACAGCTCACCTCCCTGCTTCAGCAGGAGCAACACAAACGGCAAGATCAGCAACAGCAGCTGGCAGCTGTAACAACGCATAGCCAAAAGCTGACGGCTGCTGCATGCACCGATTTGCTGCTGGCACATAAGTACCGTGGGGAGGCACTTAAGGTCAGCTTTTGGTGCTACTGCTGATGTAGCTGCGGCTGTTGTGTCGTTGGTGCTGCCACTACTGATTTTAGGCATACCCTTTTTCGTTCTGGAGTAACTCTGGCAATGGCTCATTCTGAGGGCCTCTTCGGCCGCAGCATAGCATACAGCTGGGGGCCTGTGTCTCGTTGCGTCTGCTGCGTGTTTGTTGCTTCAGCAATCCCTGTTGCTTGCGGCTGCTGTGCTGCTTATCTTCCTCTTCTTCGTGCTGCCGCACACTTCCCTAGGCTCCATTCTCTCTCAAGCAACGTGAGGGTTTAGGCCTCCTCCTGGGACGCACGCAGCATGCAAAGGGCGCGTGCAGTAGATGCTGCAGTAGGAGCAGCGTTAAAAACAGCGGTAGCAGCATCTGTAGCTATGCTGAATTCAGGTTTAATGCATCGGGTTCACATTTTGTCTAAAAGGATCTGATACCACGCAGCTTTCGAAGATGGTCAGTGCGTCAGAGGAACGACAAGGCCCTCCCAGTGAACATTCGCCGTCTCTGCGGTGTTTACCGTAATGGGCCGATGCAGCAAAAGTCGTCTTTTCTTGCAATCCTGATGCAGTGTGCGCACGCCGTGCTACTGCACCACTTGATGTCTCAGAAAATATTTTGTTAAGATAGAACACTGTAGTGTCGCCCGAGCGAACAGGTGTATGCCGTGCATACATGCCTGATGCGCATCGTTCTCGAGCCAAATACAGTGGCAGAAAAAGTAGCCGCAGATGATGTTGCTGAGCAAACTGTTATGGATTACAGTGTGCTAAAGTAGCCGCTGGCAGCAGCAGCTTCGTGAGTAGGCCTTTAATGCGGTAAATAGATTTCAGCGAAGACTTTTTCGCACGAAGCCTTGTTGCCCGTACTTCTGCTAGCTGATGCTAGCGCCCCTGTATCTAAAATCCGAACTGTGAAAATAGCCGTGGTCTGCATGCAGCACAGTGTTACAATCCAACGCGGTGCGCGGAAGTCATGCAGAGTAGTAGGGCATGAGGTGTACTGGCCCACTAAGGGAGAAGCCTATAAAAATCTAGCACATCCATGAGGCGTACCCTCCCATACCTAGCCAATATATCAAGTATTTGGTGTACTTGACTACACCACTAACACCGACACCCCTCCCCTCGCTTAGGTACAGTAGATGGACGCAAAATGGCGGGTGCGTGCACCCAGACGCTGTATGCAGCCTCGCCCGCAGACTCTAATACGAGAGACCAGAATTTTGGGCGTATGCAAAGTAGTGGAGAGCACTGGGGAGGGGCACCAGACGTGTACACAAAGTCGATAGCCGATGGGATACCACATAGTTCTACTGCGAGTGCCGTCTCTGTCCGCCGCAGCCGGAAAGTCACTTTCAGAGACGTGCGCCGGCCTCTGTTGCACCCCTGCATACTGACGTCAAGCGGTTCTTCACTGTCTCTAATAGGAAGACCCAAATGTCCTTCGACACGCATGCTGCGCGCTGAATTGCCCGTCTATTATCAAAGTAATACGATGCTGAATGCTTGCTTCTTAAAAGTTCCCACAAGCAGCCCTGAGACATGTGCCTCCTAATGCCGTGCTGCGCTTGTAACGCTAATGGGGCAGGCCACAACACCAAGGCTTCTCTGGTCAACCCAGAATTACGAAAAGAACAACAGAAGCCACGGCCAGAAGGCAAGGCCATACCTGTCAGACCATTATGCAAGCACACATTGAAAGCGAGCCGGCCCCGCGAATAATCACGACATAATCACTAAGCCCTCAGGGTGTAGGCGTTCAAGGTATCGGCTCAAACTGTAGACCCCTTGCTTTGCGTAGAGTGACTCCAAACCATTGTCGCCGTTAAGGTCTGTTTGGTTATAAACTGAGCAGGATCGAAGTTTTGGGCCCACAGAAGAACAGCAGGGAAGTTTTCTTAAAAGAACGTCCTTATCTCCTCCCAAGAAGGAAGCAGGGAACTGCATGCTGATGTGAATGGACGATTTCTTAGACACCATGGCAGCCATCGCAGCCATCCGCCTTCAGGTTCCGCCAAACACCTATTTATATTCGACGAAAACTTTGTATTGGAAAACTAATGATAATTTCGTTTCTTTAAAAGGACGGTTGCTGCGTACGCCACTGCCTTAAGGTGTGCCTGCACAGTTCCAGACACATGTGTCTGCGTGTCGCTGTGCTCATTTCTTTTGCCTCGCTTTTTCGCCATTAATCATCAGCTATTCTTATCGGTTTCAACGGCTACTGCAACAGTTGGCCTCTCAAGCCCGCCTTTTTCACTCTCTGTCGCTTTCCCTCCCCAGTCCTTTCTCTGTAGCTCCTGAATCCCTGCTACCCCGTCTAACAGCATGTGCGCCTCCAAGATGCTGCAGGTAGCACTGGACTCTGATGGCTTACCCTGTGTAGTAACTGGTTCAGTGGCTCCCGGTTGCAATATGGGAACCTCGACGGGGGCTCCCCCCGCTGCAGGAGCCGTGGAGACAGGCACCACCATTGTTGCCTGCTGTTTCTCTGGCGGCGTTGTTCTAGGTGCCGACACCCGTACATCTGCTGGTTCCTATGTAGTTAATCGAGCAGCCAGGAAAATAACGAAGCTGGCGGACCGGATCTGCGTCTGCAGGAGTGGAAGTGCGGCAGATACGCAGGCACTGGCTCAGATTGCACGTTTTCAGACGCAGTTGTATGCCCAGGAGCTGCCAATTCAGTTTAGAGGTGAAGCTCGGGTGAAGGTGGTGGCGCACCTGGTGCAGCAAATGTCGTACGAATACAAGGACCAGCTCACGGCGGGGCTGATAGTTGCAGGGTGGGATTCAGTGGACGGCCCCCAAGCATACTCAATCCCCATAGGGGGCAGTTGCATCCCCGTGAAGTATACGGCTGGGGGCTCTGGCTCAGTATTTATCACTGCCTTCCTGGACTCGCAGTACCGCCCAGATCTCACCAGGGAGGAGGCTGTGCAACTGGTATCCAGGGCTGTGGCCCACGCAATTAGTAGGGACGGTAGCTCTGGAGGCATGGTTCGTCTTGTGACAATTGAAAAGGATGGGATGTCGGAATACTGCATCGAGGGTAACAACCTCCCAGTTGACCCTTGACCAGGCGCAGTATAGTGCACCTACGATTCCACCAACGTTGGCCAACGCTACTCTGCAGCAATTACTGCGGCTCTAGGTTTGCGTGCTGACGTAGTAGTTTGTGTGGTCGGGGATGCATGGTGGAACGCCCCGAGAGACATGCTCTCCTGTCAGAGAACTCGACGGTGGTGGGAGCCTGCCGCCACTTTTTGTGGGGACCGTGCGCACAAATAGGAGTAAAAAGTACCTGTTGTCCGCCGTAAACGCACACCTATTCTACTTGAATGCATCAAACTCCCTATATTCCCCTGTAGTTGAATCAGGGGTTGAGCGTTTTATCATCCCTACTTTGGAATAACACCCTCAGGCTAACCCTTCGCACGAGTACTCTCAAGCACCCAGATATTGGTAATGCTTTGAATTTTATTCTTTAATTGTAGTGCGGCGAATCTCCTGTTGGAGGATAGATTGAAGCGCTGCTCAGGTATCCAGGGATCAAATTCCTTACACCAAAAAGATTAGTTCGTGAAGCCACGAAAATGAGCAAAACAAGGGCAGATCAGCCATGATATAACGCCTGCTGCCGCATTTCTCGACGCGTCAAGGCGGCTGCAACGACGGTGCACCTCCAACATTAAAAGACGCTAACTCAATTAAGTCTTTGACGCATCCTTTGGAAAGTTGTTGTTATCGTCTGAAACAGCTGTAGAATTGGGTGCAAACTATCTGCTGGCGCTTCCAGGGTCTCCGCCGGTGATTCACTTTCGATTGCAAGATCGCTTGTCAGGGCTCCAATTGCAAGATCCTCATCGCCTTCTGTCGAGGGCGGCGCTTCCTGTTGCTCTACCTGCACAGGCTCAGGGGGGAGCACTGCAGCAGCGCTAAGAGCGGCAGATTGTAGCTCTTGGCCTTGTTGAGAAATCTGTGCCAAGGAGGTTCCATCTTCTTCAATAGCTGAAGCTGAGGCCCCAAGGCAGACAGCAGCAACGATGGGCAAGTAGCGCACCATTTCCACTAATAGAGAGAGGCCGGGTATATTTTTGGCTCAGATCTCAGCGAAGCAAAAATTGAGATCAAACCAAGTGTAATGGTCAAACAGCAAACCAGTTTTAGCGGTTTGCACAATTGACCAAGATCACGAACGTTGCGAGCCCCCTCTGTATGCGGTTCGGTGCTCCAGGAACAAGGATAACAAATACTGAACGAGCGTAGATTCACAGTCAAGAGTAAATTTCCTGGGGTCTGTTCTAAGTGTAGAAAGATGTACCCGCAGCTTGTGAGATGAGCCGGCCTGATTGCTCCAAGAAAGCGGGGACGACCAGTCCAGCACCGGTCCGCCGAGCCAGATCTGTAGCCTAGAAACTGCAGAAACTGCAACAAGGCCTTGAAACGCACAAGACCTTTCAAATCATGAGCTTTAGATATAAAAATTTCCTCTTTACTTCGATGCAAAGCAGAAATTGTGGATATAGATCAGAAGCACTGGACGCCTGCAGGGGCTCCGCAAGAAATCCGGCCTAGAGACACTACAAGCTTTACAAATACGGGTAGAAATGATATCTGACAAACAAAAATTCACGATAAAGAGCTCTTCAAGTACTCTTTCGAACTTGTGCTGAGCAAATGCTATTTAACAATACTGACGTTCCTCGCTCATCGACGGACTGGTCGTTCCTGATGTTAATTCCGCTCGCCACGTCATTAGGCCTCATCCCCACATAGAATCTTTTTCCATTTTTTGAAATACTGCGCGGATCTGAACGCTCGGGGTTCAAGGTAAAGTCGATCCCTCACACATATGCCATGGCAGTGCAAAACCCAAGGCAACCAAGGTTCTGAGGAACTGGCTTTGACATACTCTTACTTTGTAACGCTACGTATCTGGCCTTCCCATGCAGGCCTTTCCGCGCAGACTTAATACAAAACCTAATATAATGCTATTGAACGCCTTAAAGAATCTCCCTCCTTCCCATGCCCACAGACTTCCGGAGACAAGGGGATTGGAACAGCTAGGGTGCACTCAGCTGCAACCTCTATGCTCTTCGAGCATTCAGAGCTATTTGGGCATAGCGACTAGCACACATGCACACAGAAGTGCGTCTTGTTGTATTGTGGTATCAGTGCTGTGCCATAAAAACATACAAACAGACAGACCAGTAGGCAATTCTTTGCTAAACATAAGCTATATAACTACTGTAAGCAATACAATTTGATTGTAGCCTAGTCCAGTACGTCTTCCCCTAAATCTCAGGGCACGTGCCCTTCTGTCCCCTACCTGTACGTCGAGATCAACTCCTTGAACAACGGAAGAAGTCCCACCCTACCGTCACTCCTCAGGCACACAGAAACGCGAAAGAGTATAAAGGAGAAAGGTGAATGTGTGTAACAGCTGGTAGGTAAATATTCATGGAACGAGAAACAGGCACACTACCCAACAACAAAGAAGGGACCAAAAACAAAGCCGGTGCGGCGGCGTGAATAGTTTGTTGTCTTTGGCGCAGTGGAAAATATGAGCTTCCTGCTACGAGCAAACACAAGACAGGTAAATTGTGTAATGGGAATCGAAAAACACTCTACCTTAGCGGTAGTACACAGGCTTATGGAGCATTCTCTGCTTGCAAAATACATCCGGTGCATGCAGCTTTGTTGATTTCGAAGCTTCAAAACTTGCATACGCAAGAGGGTACAAGGTAACCAAGAGTGCATGCGCATACATCTGAGTGCAGAACACATTTCATGGGCAGACTCCAGAAACTTTCTGAGCAATCTAATAGATAGATGTAGCTGTTAAAGGCAGAACATGCGTTTGGGAAGGCAATTATAAAGAAACGCGAGATGTACCGTCCATGGCGATTGCCTTTGCTAATCAAACAACGCCGCAAGTTTTTCCTCAGCTACAGCCGCACTTTCTCCTTGTGACTTCGCTCACTCCGACGTCTCTGATAAATTGCGTCTAGTGTACCCTTGGCGCTCAAGAGGCCTACAATTCTACAGTTCCCGGCTATTCCACTCTATATCCAGGTATACATACATCTACGCATTTGGATGTGTCTCTGCACACTTTCATAGAGCATATCTAGAAGATCTTAAGCATTTGCAATCACTTCCGCTGCTTCGCCGTGCGGCGAAGCCGCATATAATTCGGAGGCATATGACACTTCCTGAGGAAGCCAATATTGACACTTCTGTGACACGTGCAGTTTTTGAAGAAGTTGACAGAACATAAAAATGTATTGATACGTAGGAGGACGGCAGAGGGTCCTAGCCGCCTGCGCATCAAACATTTTTGTGTAGTTATCTTCTGGTGCACCTCGGAAAGCCTGCCGATCCACCAGAGCTAACTCTCCAGGCTCGATGCAGCAGGCGATCGACCCTTTTCATGATTCCGTGCTTGTCTCGTTTGGGATTTGTGAGTATCTTTTCTCGCATTAGCCAACAGTTCTCTCAAGTTCTTCGCTGCTAAGGATGCCTGCTGACCCCGTGCCACCAGGTTCAGGCTCGGATGGGAGAGGTGCAGCTCAGTGTAGATCAGGGATGCGCGAAAACAGCTTTAGACAAATGTACCGTCGTACTGTAAATCACTTAACGCCTAAAACCCCAGCTAAGCAATTGGCTTTCTGTCGGCATATAGTCGCAAATACTGCAGAATATTGGTGGGCTCTGTCTGTCCATCTGTGTAGGTCGGTCTTTAGCGCATGCCAGAACACACAAACGAGCTTCAGATCCCTATTCGTGATGACTTACATGATGAAATGGTAGTACTTTTAATCATAAGATAAGAATAAGTGAGGTACCTCAAGGCCGTGGCAGTGCTACAGCAAGGGCTGGAATGGATAGTCATGATGGTTCTGGCGACAAGGGCCTAGACGCTATCGTGGCCATTGACTTGTGGCCGGCAAAAAAAAATTGTTCGCCCATGATAGTCTACATTTTTACTAGTAGCCATAAGGCTGGGCACGAGGCCGGGGACAGGAGAATTGAATGGCTAGGCATGGCTGTGCATTTTCGTCCCCCGCAGGACACATCCCATGTCACCAATCGAAAGTACTCTCTTACTTTGGTGTGGACCCCATGATGGCCCAAATTAATATGCTTATGGCCTTCGCACATAGAAAAATTGACTTGGCATGCTGGAATGCAAAAGGGACGGGAACCTCGTTTTGTTTTGAATTATCTCAGGCCATATTAAACGCGGTAATGCTTCACCCTGTTGTCACCCTGTATTTTGGCAATGGTAGCGGATTCATGAATGTCGCAGGCATAATGCTAACGTCATTTCGATTAAAACTGTCAATTGTCGAACACAAAAGCGTGTGCACTACACAATCGTGCGTCGTTAAGGAGTCGCGTGAGCGACCCGGCGACCACGTTGGTGATGTGGAAATACTTCATCGTAAAGTCGTAATGCACGAGACACCAAAGCTAGCAGACAGCTTCAGAATTTCTTAAAGCCATAACCATTTTTCTGTAAGGTACACTTAAACTGGTAGTCGTTTTGGACGCCGAAATGACGCTACGACTACACCTCAGTAAAACCCGCTACAAGCTTTCAGCTAAACAAAGAAACCAAGAAGCACTAATCCAAATCAGAAAGCCCAAAGCTGCTGGGATAAAATAGCACTCATCGCTACCTCACTAGCATCGAATGGTGGGAAGAAAGGACGCTCACAATCGGATAGCCTGCATACCGGAGTTGTAGAGCTGTCGATTAACGTCCTTGCTGTGGCATTAGCCTCCTGTGCTCAGGTCAAGACTGCGTTTTCGTAAGTAGGACAGTTAAAGAGCAGCAATCCGGACAAACGCAGACATGAAGTATTGTTGATAAAATGCAAGCCCACAGAACTTCTTAGCGCCCCCGTGGGTGCGTAGAAGTAAAGACCACTCATTGCTTGCCGTCAATTTCGGCGGATCTAGTTCAAGTTTTGCAGCTGAAGCACAAACCATGTGATCTCATTAAAAACAAACACCTTGTTGCTTCCACATTTCACTGCGTCTCTCGCAGCAGCTGAATACGATGCAGC